AGATAATTGTGGATGTTTTTGTTTAATACTGCGGTAAAACTTGGACAAGCAGTGATTTTCATTGCATTACAATTCATTGAGCTGCCTTTTAATTTCAAATGGATTTTTTACCCATGTGTGATTTTATGATGTCATATACCAAACATTAGAAAAATACTGCTCCATTGAGTTATGCACATCTTTCAAATTTTAATGCACTTTATTATTACATAAAATTAAAAACAAGTCATCTTTCTTAGTATCAACCACTAATCTTGTCAGAAAGCGTCTCCCAATGCTATCCCAAAGTAGAATGTTCCTGTGATACCTTTTGTAAGCCAGAATGTCATATACAATGAAAAAGCAATTACCATTAATATTTGGATGAAAAATATTTTGAGAGTTTCCAGACCCAAAAGATAACCTCTCAGGCTTCTCTGATACCTTTGGACACACATCTTGCTAACTGATGGACAGAATAAGTCCAGATTTAAAGCACAAATGTTTACATGTAATTCAAAGCTCTGGCAGCTTGATGCTGAGTTGCCAGGTATAGTTCCCAGGGAAGAGCATGGTGGTAGTACTCTGGCTGTTCTAGGTTTGTGGTGCCTCTAAAATTGCTTTCTTGAAACCGCACAACTTTATATTCATTTTTTGCTTTTTTGCAAAATCCGCTTTGGATGTTTTTTGGTTAGCAAAAACAGGTACTACAAATGTAGGTATTTCATAAAAGCTAAGTGGCATACTGCACACTTTTTTGAAAAACAAGGGATACTTGTACACAAGCCACTCAATAATCATAGTTTGTAAGATGCCATCTTGTTCAGTTTGCAGCCGGTTCATAAGGATGGTTTTTCTTGAAGAACCACCGTATTTCAGAATGCAGCAGAAGTGCTTTATGTGAATATCCTGTTTTGTTGCATAGATTGTTAAAAAGACATGTAGCGATTCAATAAAAATAACTGCTTCCTCTACGTAGTCATCTACATATTCCAGTTGAAATGTTAAAACTGCAGTAGTTTGGGCAGACAACCTCTTTACTGTCCTGCCTGCTGTTTCCTTCTTTCCCTCCCTCCCTCCCTCCCTCCCTCCCTCCCTCCCTCCCTCCCTCCCTCCCTCCTTCTTTCTTCTTCTTCTTCCTCTTCTTCCTCCTCCTCCTCCTCCTCTTTTTTTTTTTTGGTAAGATTTTATTTATTTAGTCATGAGAGACAGAGACAGAGACACAGGCAGAGGGAGAAGCAGGCTCCATGCAGGGAGCCCAATGTGGGCTCAATCCTGGGACTCCAGGATCACGCCCTGAGCCAATGGCACGCGCTAAATGACTGAGCTACCCAGAGTTCCCCTCTCTTTTATCTTCTTAAAAAAAAAAAAAAAAAAAACCAGAAAACCAAAACTGCAGTTGTTATGTGAAGAATATGATAGTTACTAGTTAAAGTAAAAAAAGGCTAGTTACTAGTTTTGAATTGTGCTAAAATACCTAGATTTTTGCTCCATTTTCTTGTGCACCATCTCTACAAATGTTGATAGTCTGAAAAGCCCAATTAGATCATAGTTTTATAATTGTGTCCTAATGTTTGGTAAGACATGAGACAGTTTTAAATTTGTGTATTTCTTGGAAGGGTCTTGAAGACAGTACTCCATCAAGCACACTCTGAGATCTGTTGTTTTAAGGGGATGCTGCTTTGATATGTGTTTTTAGAAATCAGTCATACTTTGCTTGGTTTTTTGGTCAGCTCTAAGTTCAAGGATACTTCAGCAACGAGCTCAGGAATACATATTTATAATTCTTTTAATGGAAAGGTACAGCTTCTTATGAATATAGTAAGAATAATTTAAAACATTGCCTTTTGTTAGGCTTTGTTGGAATCCTTGAAAAAATTAGGGTGCTTTGTGAAGGTAGCAACTTTATGAACTTTAGGCAGAATTTTATAGGTCATTTCAGCCTTGAGTAAGTTATTTAACAGTGCTGTACCTCAGTTTTATGATCTCTAAAATAGGGTAACAGTAGACCTACTTTATAGGGTTGCTCTGAAGAGTTAATTAATTAAACCAAGTTTTAATCATAGCTTTATTATCTTATCACAGTGTAGTCATTTGAGATTTTATATATATAGAAGTTGTTTCATGTCAAACCACAACTCTAATTTTTGGTAAGGTAATAAAGCATTAAAATTTATATTCCAAAAATAACATGTATATTATATACCAGTTGTAGTTTCAAATATTAGAATTCATAGAAGTGAGGGTCTTGTGTATTGCTTTTTGGGTAGGTACACAGTTAATGGTGAACTTCCAAGTGTTTGTCCTTACTGATATTTGATAAATCAAGTTACAATGAGAAGTAGTCTTAATTTTCATTGCTAACACTACCCTTAAATGTAATCTCTGATCCTTGCATTTTACTAGAAGTATGTAACAGTGTATTTTTAGAAAATAACGGTAATCTTAGGACATGACTAGGAAGTTGAAAACTTCTTTTGCTCCTTCTAAAGTAGTCAAAAAATGATATATCTAATAAAGCCATGTCTTTTTCGTCATGTGTGAAGCTGTACAAAATAGTACTCAGTAATTTTCTTTAAGGAAACATCAACAGTACTAAATAAATTGAGTGTATATTTAGTGGAAAATGTTGTATTTTATCCATAGGTATTTTAGTATAGTGATAGCTGCATTAGCATGGATTATTGTTAGATAATCTGATTATCTCATTTAAAGAAAGGTATTTGGAACTGGAAAACCAGGTTTTTTTTTTTTTTTTTTAAGATTTTTTATTTTTAAGTAATCTCTATATACATTGTGGGGTTTGAACCCACAACCTGAGATCAAGAATCACATGCTCTTCTGACTGACCAAGCCCCTGGAACCAGGTTCTAGTAGAGCATCAGAAAAAGAATGATACGGCCACTGTTGAAAAGTTGACTTAAAAAAACAAGAATCTTGGGGCGCCTGGCTGGCTCAGTCCTTAGAGCATATGACTCTTGATCTTGGTGTCATGAGTTAGAGCCCCATGTTGGGTGTTAGAGATTACTTAATAAATAAATAAATAAAAGCTTTAAAAAATTCATAAATATCTTTGGTATATTAATCTCTTCAGAAATCTCTTAATGAACAAAATGGAATAATAGAATAATTCAGGTATGATTTTTTTAAAAAAGTACTGAACTTTGTGAATAATAAAGCTAAACGTGATTTTGGAAAGTGATAGATACAGTACGATGAAATTATAAGTACATAATACAAAAGTCGTCTCTCTCATTGGTCCCACCAGTGAATCATAGGCATCCAGTTAGGATGTCAGAATATATAAGGAGGATTTGAAAATTAAAGTCTCAGACAGTAAGACTATCATAATTACCCTGTTAGTGATTAGATACTGCATTCCTCATCTTTCATGGTTAAGGCAAATACAAAAGTAAAAATAAAAATTAAACCCTTGTTCCCAAAAGATGTCATGATCAAAAAATCCATGTATTTGTGGTGTTGAAATGGAATAACAAGTATCTGCTATAAATAAACCTGGAAGATTTTGGATATGCCAAAGCAGTCTACATTTTATCTGGTTTTGGATGATGAGGAAATGACAACTTGGCTTGATTTATTGATGATAGTGCTAAGTGTGATCATAACATAGTATTTTCCAAATGACTTCATCAGAAATGCGTTCTGTGAAATAGTCTAGCTATTCTGCTAGTCAGTAGTACCCATCACTAGCCAAACATTTTATTAGAAGAGACAAATTTAGTTTTAGGAAAGTTAAAAAAAATAGCTTTGAGAAATATTTGGGATTTACTTTTTCTAAATAATGTGACAAACATTTCTTCATGATGTTATGATGTAAGTGATGTTATTATGTAAGTGACGTTTCTTTAACCATAGCTTCATTAAAGGTTACATTTTAAGACCTGTCCATTATGTTAGGTACGGGCAGTTCATAACTGCTTAGTGGCATTTATCTACCATAGGCTTTTCTTTCCTTTATTTCTAGCTTTTATAGGTGATTTTCACTAGTATTTTGTATTGCTAAGTGGAATTTCAAGCACATTTTAATAAAATTGTTTTAAGGGGAAAATTTTGCTTTAAGATTTCGACATTGCTACTTTTGTCTCCGTGTGTTTTATTATTGCTGCATTTAACACACTGGTCTGATAATGGAAAAGATCATTAAATAAGAGTACAAATTTGAATTACAGTATGTTGAGTAATTTCACCTAGAGATTTCATTGAAGTTAATTTTATATAACTGTAAAAAATGAGTTTTTAGAAGTAGTTGAATTTTACGGAAATTTATGTTATTTGCATGACCTTTTATATCACAGTTAACCTCAAGAGCATTTTGTTTCAGAACTTGCTGACTGTGTAATAACACTTCTATTTAGATTTCCAAGTAAAACCCTTGTTCAAATAAATGAAGCAGTGTTACGTTGAATTTTTAATAATTGTGTGTTGTGGAGACTTTCATGGCATATCTTTAGGTCTTGGGTGCAACAGTGCTCAACTATTGGAATAAAAATGGAAAGGTGTATTAACAAGGAGAATTGTCTATCACTTTATTTTTAGCTTAGTGCCCCACAGGTGTTTGTGTTGGATGTTTGAATACATTTGAATATAAAAAGGGTAATTGTCATTTTTGTTTTAAGACTTTAGTGTCATGGGAGGAAAATATAATTGGTCCTCGTGGTTATTAATACTAGATTTTTCTTTTTTTGGGGGGGGAATCTAGGCATGTGTCTTTGATCTATTGAAATAAAAACATTAAAAACATTCTGCAATAGATTTTGTGTAATCTGACACATTAATAATCTAGTAGTATAAACGGAGTGCTCTAAGCACTGTGATACATATCAGACCTGGGAGACTGAAGTTTCTTTTCAGTGTTCGTATTAAGTAAGTGATGTCGGAAAATTTTAATTTCTTTTAATGGAAAGTGATGTCCCAATTTATTCTTTTCTTTTTGATTTTAGATGGGAAATGTAAAGTCATAAGATCGATAGGTTGACTGTGACAACTATGCTTACTTACAGAGAGAACAGGAAATGAGAATGGGTGATATGGGTCCCCGTGGAGCAATAAACATGGGAGGTAGGGATTTGAAGCAAAAGCCTTCTGTAACTTGTAATTCTTTGGGGAATTGTACATGCTGTTTGTGGTATCTACATATCAGTAACAAAAATTTGGAACCATCATTTGTAATGGTGAAATCTCTAATATTTATTAAGTTGAAAAATACAAGTGTATTAAAAATAATATGACTAGGAAGAATTTTGTTTCATTGAAGGCTAAAAGGTATATCATGTTTTAATAGATTTAATGAAAGAAACCTGTAACCAGGTTTTGATATAACTTGAAACTTATTCAGTCATTGCATGGTGTGATGCAGCTATGTTGCATTTTCAAAAAGTCAAATTTCATGCTTTCAGATTGGCTCTTTACCTTAGAAATTTGGTAGTTTCTGAGTTTGCAGTGGTTTTAAAGTTCTTGAGAGTAGTTTTTAAATTTCTATTGGTAAGGTAACTGTTTGTGTAAGTGGAATTACTTTTATTCGTTATGCTGAATGTTTAGCTTATTTTGCCCTAACCTACCATATTTTGCACTGAAGCGCACTGTTTGGAGGCATATTTGACATGTCAAGGAAAGGAGATATCTTCTACATCTAGGCTAATGCATATCTTCAGAGTTGATGTAAAGGTTTTAAGAAACTGCTTACTTTAGCTTCTCTATTGTTGAGGGAAACAGTAAATTTGAAATGTTACACACTTAAAAATTAGGTAAACTTTTCAAGTATTTTTTATACATTCATTTCATATTGTCCCACAGAGGCTGTCACAAAATTAAAATCTTCACATAACTCAAAATGTACATAGAGTTGTAAAGATTACATTATTGGGGCATTCTAATATGCATAAATATGGATTGTACTTAGGATATATAGTGTATGGAATAAAAAATCTTAAAGCATCTAGTATGTGGAATGAACATTTTCTGCGATCAACCCCCCCCCTTTCTCATGCTTTTTTTTTCCCCCCCCTCTTTCCAATCAGATCATCTAAAATTGTTATTGCTGTTTATTTGGTCATTTTTCTCACTATCAGTAAGAAGTTACTGAGCATCTCTGGTATATAATGGAAGCATGATACATGATACATGATCCTTACCTATAAAGATCTTAGTTGTCAAGTTAGTTACAATGGATACATGAATTAATTAGCGAACAAAAAATACATAAGATTTATCGCCACAGTTCTAAGAAATACATAACTTCTAGAGGCACAGTTGAATATGTAGTCATGTACAAGTAGTTCAATTTTATGTCTTTCCAAAGTAAATTGTAGAATGGTGTATGATATAATCCAAGTGGTTTTAAGGGTTGTAAGTGTGAGGTTATGGATTGTAGGTACTTTGAAATGCCATTGTAATTATTAGATTGTCATAAACATCAGAAACAAATGAAGTGTTTCTGATGTTGCAGAGACCTTGAAAACATTCTGTTTTGGTTAGCAACTTTATCAGAAGCAAATGGAGAGTAAACCTTTAGATACTTTATTTAGTTAGGAATTTAAGAGAATTAAAATTTCTTGTGGCATTTTACTTCACCAGAGAACCATATTACAATTGACAACTTCCTCAACTCCCCTTCAGTCCAGTCCATTTAATTTTCTCCTATATACATTTTATTCAGTCTGACTTTGTTAATGGTTTATTGGAGTTATGAATCATTATTCATGTAGTTGAATATTGCTGTTCAGTCAGTAAATTGTCATGTCCTATCAAGTTACACTGATAGACTCTGGCAGTAGATTTTTCTGATGTATCACCAGTGTATCTACTAAGCAAAACATAGATTTTAAAACTACTTTTCAGGGAACCAGATAATTTACATTTCTTAGATATTTAAGTTTAGTTTAATTATAATTATGTGATAGAAAGCTTTATTACTAGAAATAAGACTCTAATTACTGATAGTTGGAAATGTTTATTTTTTATTTTATTATTCCCATAGTTATACAGGTATATTTGAATCTTATAAGTTAAATGTAACAATTGTTTTATTAAAAAGAAGAAAAACTTAATCCTTGATCTGTTCTTTTTAGGGAAAGTTAAGATTACTTATAGATAGTGTCTTTATTCTTCCTCATTTCCATGTGGGACATGTCGTGGAATTCTAGTAAAGATTTTTATTTATAGCTATGCTAAGGGAATAGAAATATTCTTGGATAGTTAAAATGTTAAAATTTTCAGCAAGAACATTTTGGGATTAAGGAAATAATTTCTTCCCATGATGTGGCTAGGTTCTTGAGAAAGAGTGGTAGTCTTACTGCTAGGGACTGGTCGTGGGGTGAGACTTTCTCAACTCTCACCTGCTTCCTGGGCTCAGTCATATGTAGAGTTCAGCTGCATTAGATACTGTGTAGGGTTCTAGATTGTCATTTTCTGTTATTATGTGTTTTTGAGAAATTGAGTTCTGAGTCATAAAATTGACCTATAGAATGAAATACTAGAAGAAAATTCTTAAGTTAGAGCTAGGCTTTGTTACAGATTTTTAATGCAAAAAAGTATGAATATTTTAAAAATAAATTCAAAGAAAACCGAAAAATGTTGTGGTTGAATCCATTATAAATATAGTATTTCAGATCAAATACTGTTGCAATTAACATGAGGCCAGGTGGATATCTTTTTGATGGAAAAATATGAAGTATATCTGATTGTCTCCATTTCCAGAATTTTATTAGCATGTCAAAAAATTCAAATAGCTTTATTAGTATTTTTCTATTTGCTTTTAAAAAATAAGCTTCATCATGACAAGCCTTTTCAGTTTTTTTGCTTATATTGCCTCTTTCTACATAAAGTTAAAAAATAGTACCTCGTATACTTCTGGGGTTATGTTCAGTAATTTATATTAAAGTCAAGAGTTTAGTTTTAATGAACTTTTTATATTTATAGTTTCCTAAGTGCTAATCCTTTCCTGTTAATTGAAACTGGTATAGTTACCATTGTATGGGAGTAGTTGGTTAAAAAGCAGGCTATTAGCAAGTAATAATCATTTTTAAAATGATTTAATCATTTTAATAATTTCAAGTTTTGACAGTCTCAAATATCCTAAAGTAATTGGTAGTTGTCTCATTTGTTTTATGTACCTTTGATTTTGGGATGAATATTCTATAGTGTAGGTAATCTAGAGGTACATATCATAGAATAGATAATTGAGTGTCCCATTCTCAAGGAAAGTGATTTGATAATCGTCTTGCTATATAGTCTGCATAAGTATTGTTAAATTTTTAATGTTTACTAAACTAAGATAGGACAGCTCTAAGTATAGATTGTTTTGCGTAGATGCATTTAGCCCAGCACCTGCTGGTAACCAAGGTCCTCCTCCAATGATGGGTATGAATATGAACAACAGAGGAACTATACCTGGCCCACCAATGGGTCCTGGTCCTGCCATGGGACCAGAAGGAGCTGCAAATATGGGAACTCCAATGATGCCAGATAATGGAGCAGTGGTAATGTATCATAAACATTATTTTGATTATATTTAGTAATATATACTTTTCTGCCCCAAAGGTAACTTCACACTTTACATAATTTGGCATCATTTTGGTGGTAAAGATAATATCCATTGAAGAAAAAGTAATTTTGTGAAGTTTATATGTTGACTTAGGAGAAGCAATTTTTAAGTATCACAGGAGTTAGGATTATCATTCATGGCATGCTTTTGTACTCAAGTATATGGCAGATACATGTTAATTACAGTTATTTTTTTTATTTTTTATTTTTTTTTAAATTTTTATTTTTTTATTTATTTATGATAGTCACTGAGAGAGAGAGAGAGGCAGAGACATAGGCAGAGGGAGAAGCAGGCTCCATGCACCGGGAGCCTGATGTGGGATTCGATCCCGTGTCTCCCGGATCGCGCCCTGGGCCAAAGGCAGGCGCCAAACCGCTGCGCCACCCAGGGATCCCTACAGTTATTTTTATATTGCTTTTAGTTTGTATCCATTTCTTACCAGTATTCACTGTAAAGGTGTCAAGTATTTTAAGATTATATTCTTTTCCTTGTGGACTCCTTACCTTTGGTTGGGAATGAAACTCCCAATATGTGTGAAAACACAGTTTTCAGTAAGCATTTTTAATAAAAAAAACACTTAAAATTAATTTCAGGGATTTTATTTTAACTACAAAATAAGGTACATTAAAGTTTTAAAGTGTACTTTAAATTTACATTTTGAAGTCTTACAGAATTATTAATCATAATTGTTACAAAATTTTAAAATACACAGTTTATATCTTGGTTTGAGAGTGTGAAGATATCTTTGTGTGGGTTAAATAATTATAAAAGCAAAATTTTTCAGTAGTTCTTATTTTTACTTGAATACTAGTAGCAAGACTGATAACTTTTCTCATTTCCCTTAAAGTCTGTCACTGTTTAAAGAAGCTATTGTATTGGCAACACATTTTCTCATTTGTTTTTTTTTTGTTAATGATTGTTCTAAATAACATTTAGAAAAGGAAAATTGGTTGAGTGTATATTTTGAAAAGGCAACATAGTTTTGGAACTATCACAACAAACATTAAGGCGCCATGCTGATACAGCACTGCATAGCATATAAAGCACTGCCAATTAAATTCAGACATTCCACTGAGTACTTGTTAATACATACTGATTTCAGAGATGTTAGAAGTGAATGTGTGTCTTACAATTGATGGAGACAATGTTTCATCATTTTAAAATTTATTTACTTTAAATGCAATCTTTTAAAAATTTGGAAAAATTAGACATGCTAACATTTTTTTTTATGAATGTTTGTGTATGGAGATAAAAAGGCAGTGCCATAATATCTACTATGATCAGATGGCGCATGATATAATTAGTGTATTTGTTTCCTTCTCTGGAGGCTTTATTTTATAGAAAAATGTCTGAAAGCTAAGTAAAAACTTTGACTACTTTGGTTAACTTTTTCTATAGCATATAATCATTCGTAGTAACTTAAAAGTTAATATTAACTGGCCCATTTTCCCCTACCCACCCCCCTGAAGTTGTAATCTTTATTTAAATATCACCCTTGGTCTTTTTACAGTGATATTTTACTACTGCATGTGGAGAGTTCTGTTCAATCTTTGAGATTAACATAGGTGGTTATTGTAAAATTTTCCAAAGCACAGGAGTCAGGTATTTACTTAATTGTGCTATTAGTAGTACATGTTCATAAATTGTGAATTTTAAAAAATTATGTCTATTTTCCCATTAATAGTCTTTCTGGAAAACCGCCTCAAAAGTTTTAATATTGAAATTATAACTCTTTCCGTATTTGTACTAGTACTTTTTCGTTAAAAGCATTACTGTTGAAATTTTTTAAATGTTTATTTTTTCAATGTGATGCTGCTCCCCAGTTTTACTCTTTGATTTTCAAAAAAAATTTTTTTTTATTACACATCACAGTTTATATGCAGTATAACCTTCAGAAAAAGATCAGAACAGTATTGTAATACTGATTAGGTTTAAATGGCAGTAGCTTATTACTTCTTAAAATCATTTCTTTTTTTCATGAAATTGGGGCATAGCATTAGCAATTGTAACTCTTCAGATGCTTTTTTTTTTTTTTAAACGTAGTAACTAATTAAATTGCTCCTTTCTTCCTTCTATGTGTGATCCTGATTCTGCTGGACTTTCTGCTGAACTTCATGACACCACCACTTGGGATTTTGCCAATTTTTCTTGTCACTTACATTTGGCGTGTTCCAAATGGACTTCATATTTATTATGTGGCATTAGCACAATGATAGATTTCCGCAAGGACCATCATCTCAGATGGGATCACCTATGGGGAGTAGAACAGGTTCTGAAACCCCTCAAGCACCAATGAGTGGTGTAGGTCCTGTTAGTGGTGGTCCTGGTGGTTTTGGTAGAGGAAGCCAAGGGGGCAACTTTGAAGGCCCTAATAAGCGTCGTAGATATTAAACATTCTTTCATTCCTGGCTTACTTAGAGAAAAAAAAAAGTCTCTGGTATGCCTTTATACTTTTACTTGTTTCCTGGAAGAAATGGTTTTATTGTTAATGTATGTAGACTTTAAAGTTTTTCTTTTGTAAAACTTGAGGTTTTTGTATTTTTCTTTATTCATACATAAGCTTTGTAGATTGGTAATGATGATGCTCATCATTGTGAATGTTAAAATGTGTTTGTGACTTTAGCTAAATATAAGTATGCCATAGAACTGTGAAGTCTATGTAGTTAATCTCAATAAAGAAATCATTTTGGATAATTTACAAATGTTACTAGTAGTGTTCTCTCATAGTTTCACTAAACATTGCTGTAACAGTAATACTTTGGTTGCTTTAATTAATCCCAGCCATTTAAAAATGAAAATGATTTTCTGCTTTTTAGTAGCACTGAAAAGATAGAAGCTTAGTGAAAGCTAATGTCAATAGGGGTAGATAGAATAGTGCATTGGGGAGGGGGTGTGGGAACGGGTTTACATTTGTAATAAACCATTGATGTTCTTTCTGTGAAATCAGAGTTGCTGTCTACATTTCATATAGATTCTGAATATTTCAAATATTCTAAGAAAGAATATTAAGGATATCTTTGTCCTGTGCTGAGTTTTTCAAATAAACCTTTTGAATCTTGGAAAAAAACAACCTGTTTGGAGGCAAATCTCTTTTGCTTATAAAATAATGTCTATTTTTAATCTTTTCTACCATTATTTGGTGTATCTGGATCTTACCCTTTAAATTTTCTTTTAAAATCAAACAATACAGTTAGGTTGGATGTTAAGTGAGGTTTGGTATGCTTTAGAAGAAATTAGGCATTTCCTGAGAATGTTGTTTATCGAAGTACTATAGATGGATTAATTCTGAGGTGTTGTAAATATCTTCATATAGTTTGGTAAGTCTCTCCAGTAAACTTGTCTGATAGGCTAGTTGTATTTCCAAGGAATACAGTTTAAGTGGTGATTTAAAGAAACAAAAACAGGGAATTAACTTGAGAAAGGCTAAGGTCATTGGAATCAGATTAGCTCCCTCTACAGTCTACGTATTTTGAATTTTGGTTTTCAGTATTAGGGAGAAACAGATTTTATCACATTATAATTGTTATTCTGAAAGTCCTTGCTATATTTAAAATTTTGTGTGTTAGCCATATTTAATTTAAAATTGCATTTAAGGAATTACATATCCACCTTAAACTACAAATCTAATGCATCAGCCATTGATCATAATATGGTTATTTCTCACATAACATTTCAGTGTATTACTGTATCATGCTTTTAGCATTTCCATGAAATATTCTGTTTTAAAATGAACAGTATGTAAAAATTAATTTTTGCATGGTGTATGTTTATGCTGGAAGGCATAATTTGGAATTTAAATTTGGTTAATTTAAAATCTTGCATAAAAGCAGTTGTAAAGCAAAATTGAGGTGCATTCTTTTGTAACATTTGTCTTGTGTATTATTTCACATTATCTTTTTTAGAAACAGGATGGATGGAATTATTTTATAAAATTCTCAGTATTCACAGGCTTTGTTTTTGGCAAGTCTTCGAAAACATGATTTGGATATTGTAAAATAACAGTAAAAAATACTGTTCTCATCACATTTTTCCATGCGTATGAGTTGGCATGGAGTGAAATTTGTTTTAATTAACTGATTAATTACAGTGTAGGGAGTTTTACATTGATATTTAAATGATTTAAATGATACCTGTTGTACCTAAATATACCTTTCCCATCATCTATAGTTTTATTCGTATAATCCTAGGTAATTTCTAGCACTGTATTTTGCTTCAAAGCTGAATTTAAAGTGGGAAAAACTTGATCCTTTGATGTTATTACCAAGCTGTCTTTGGCCAAGGCTGTGAAATTCTGTAACATTGATTCAAGAACATTTGAAAGCCAGTGCACAGAGATGTCCTAATCTCCTGAACATTCTAGTGTCCGGCTCAAATCTGGCTCCAAGAACAGAGTTCTACACAGCTTTTTCCCTGCATCAAGAAAATCTTTGTTCCAGTACTTATCAAGTTTACCCTGGGAACAATCAGCTTCTGAGTGACAGTCAAGTGGAGCATCTGTGAACTCCCAGTTATTCAGGTTTTAGTGTTTTTGTATGAACAACTTTGTGGCTGGTTCAGTCAATATTTTTTCTTGTGAATTAGCATATTTGAATGTTATTGCTTAAAAGCAGTAGATACAAAAATAAATACTAGTATTAGCTTTTCTAAATAAGTGTGGAATTGTCACATGCTACCATAATTCTTTCCATAAAAAGGTAATATGAAACAATCTTAGATTTCTAACACCACAATATTATGTTTCCTTTTGTATCATGATTTGAAACACTGAGTTTAAAGTCTGTAGGATTTAGATTCATATGCTATTAATATGTAATTAATGTACATAAAATAAAGGAACACCCATTTTCCTAATTATTTTGTCAAAATTCCCCCATTTTTGTTTGTTTTGAAGACAAATAATTTAGGTTTTATTCTTGACAGATATAATTTTTTTTTTAAAGATTTTTTATTTATTCATGAGAGAGAGAGAGGCAGAGGGAGAAGCAGGCTCCATGCAGGGAGCCCGATGTGGGATTCAATCCTGGGACTCCAGGATTACTACCTGGGTGGAAGGCAGGCGCAAACCGCTAAGCCACCCAGGGATCCCCCCGACAGATCTAATTTTTAAAGAACTTTTGGTTCACCCATTTGTCATAAAGCCCAATTTATTATTCCTTGAATTTTTGGATTTTTCTATTTAAAATACTGAGCTTTCAGTGAAAGAGGTGAAATATTTGTTTTTAACCCAACAGTATCAGGAATATTAGGGAAAAAATAACCGTTTTCATCAGAATTGCCATTTACTAGAAATAGAAATTATCAAGGACATTAATGAAATATATTGGATCTTGTTTCTCAAGTATTAATTGAAATTACATCTTTATGTTTTATTAAAAAACATACTTGTTGAATATTTCAGTAACTTGGTGTTTATATGTAAGGTTTATAGTAATTGCAAAGTATTTCTGAATGATTAATGGTCATTAATTAATGTTTGGGGTTTTGTTGATAATTACAGCCTAGATTCTGAATGAGGAAAAGATATATGTGTGATTGAAATGTGTGTGATTGAAAAAAAAATGTCTTACGAATATGATGAAATTATGTTTAAGCTCTTTTAAGAAAGGTTTGAAATTTAGTGTCAAATGGGACTCTCAGAAATAAAAGGGATATATTATTTTGCAAAAATAGAGGAAATTTCCTGGGGGAGTATTGGGTATTTAAATGTTTTTTTTGTGTGTTGTTACATTATAATATCCAATAACATGTTAAAATATGTTCCTGAAATAATGAGAGGGTGGTAATGATTTGAAAAATCAGACATAACATTTTCAAAAGTAAGTTAGTGAACACCCACATATCTAACTCCTAAATTAAATACTTGTAAATATTTTTCTGTGCTTACTTCCTACATAGATATTTGTAGCCATGGACTTAACTTGGGGCCAGGGGTGGGGGAAGAGGTGGGAACTACTTCAAAGTAAGGAGCAAGTCCATCACTGAAATTGATGGGTTTGTTTCATCCTAAACAAATGATTAAATAAATTGAGAGTAATTTCGTACTGGACAAGAGTATTTCCTTTCCTGTACCCTTCAGAGCTAAATTTTTTAAAAAACAGGAAGCAATTTTAGTGCGCTCATTTTACATAATTGCTTTTCACTGTTGTGTAAAGTGGAACCACGCATAGCTTCCCAGTTGAATGTGGACAAGTAATTTATAGAATCTCACTCTGGAGAAATAGTGAAGAATTTAATTATTTTTATAGTATCTGATATTAAATTGTTTTAATAGTATCCGATTACAATCTATGTATTATATATTAGCTTTTTTTGGTCAAAACCACTGTCTTCTAAGTACAGAAAAAGCATCTTGAAATTTTGTTTTCTTGATTACTGAAAAACAATAATTGAAGTTTGAATCTTTATAAGACACAACCAGAATGCGTTACCTTAGGAATATTACTGTACTTCTTGTCTTTTTCCATATAATCATAATTTAGATTATAAATACCTCCAGGGGTTTCTCTTCGTTTTTTCATATAGTTTTCCTTTTCAATAAAAGAAGCTTATATTTTCTAGATGGAATATACTGCATTTCTTAATCTAGTCAGAGTTTGTAGTACACATTTTAAAGAATTATTTTTCAAGTATATTGTCTTATTGTTTGAATCACTCACTGTTATCTTACCAACTCCTCCCCCCTCTGCAACAGTTACTAGATATTTTTGACTGTTTATATAAAAATCTTGTTAGAATTACTGTTTCTTTCCAAGTTAATGAAATGGATTTTAAAAGATGGTATTCTGCTTCTACATGTACATAAAATTTCAGTTCTATTTATAAAATATAATCACCCAAATTTTATGTAAGGCGCTTCCACCTCAAAGTTAAGACTAATTAGTGAAGAATTAATTAGTGTACTTAGTAGGAATACATGATTTTATTTTTTTTTTTATTTTATTTTTTAGGAATACATGATTTTAAAATTTTCAACTTATTTTTTAAAAAAATATTGTCAATAAGTGGTTTTTATTAATTAAAAACAAGGTTCCGGCATTACTTCAATAGTAATATGTGGACTTTACTTGAGTTGTAATGTAATGGACCTAGAGTTTCTTAATGATCTATATAAATGTGTTCTTGGTAGTGTTGAAGACTTTGGAATTGGTATTTGTATCTAAAATTTGTTTCTAGCTCTGAAATGAACATTTCAGATATTTAAGTTAGGAAATACATGGATATGAGGTAGTGTCAAAACTTAAAGGAGTAGCTGCAATAATATGTTATATTTTATATTTATATCTGTGACTGGATATTTTAAGACCTATTCGTCCTTGTTCCATCTTATTTATGCAGAATGTCGACCTGCCAGACTTTTGTGAATGTGAATGAGAGTTTAGGTATGTTTTGGGATTTAATCATATATAATCTTATCACTATTAACTTTGCCAACTTTGGCCTATGAGTTATTTATATTTTTATTTTTGTATGCTTATGTGAACAATTTATTTTCTGCAAATTATTGTTGTATGCTTTGTCAGAATAATTATAGTTAATTTTTCTTCAGGCTATTTTCAGATTAGATAACATTAAATCTGTATCAAATGTAACACATTGCTTCGATTTACAAATGTTGCCTAGTGTTTTTATGTAATGAAAAAAGTAAGTGATCTCACACATAGTAATTCTCTTTTAATTTCTCACCTTTTAAAGTGTTGGAGGCAGTAGTAACTTGCTCAGTGGTTACTTAGTCTTTAATGCTAATTTTTTAGAATTGCTTAGAATATTTGCATGTTCATGGACTGGGTAGAATATTTTTTGAGGGGGAGTAGAATATTTTAAACATTAGGAACTAGCAGTTTAGCAAAGTGAACATAAAAATCGGAGTAATTGCAAAATGATACTTTCTCAGTCATACAGAATTTCATGTATTCTGAGCCATGTTATTCAGAATTGTACTATATTCCTTGTACCAGAATGTATTGAGGGGTCCTATTGTTTGCTCTTGTGCCCTTTCCTAAGGCAGAGAGATACAGTAGTGGAACAACAAAATCCCTGCTCAAGATTAAACACCAGCAGCCATGAACGTCCATTCAGATTGGTGGTTCTCAAACTTCAGTGTGCCTTGAGGCTCCTGGAGGGCTCATTAAAATATCTCTGGGCCCCATCCTACAACTTCTGATTTCAGCTGGTCTCAGATGTGGCTGAGTAATGTACATTTCTAACAAGTTCCCTGATGATCTGACATTGGGCTTGGGGACTCCTCTTTGAGAATTTCTGTTCTAAAATATTAAAAGAATCACAGTAATATTTTGGTTGGTTGATTTTTGGTGGTGGCAGAGGTGACTGTCCTGGTACATTATATGCTGCTTAGGATCCCTGGCCAATCATTGAAACCATTCAAAAAACTTCCAGCTACTGCCAGTTGATAAGTACTGCAAAAAGTCCATTATTTTTAAGTAGGCACTCTCACGGCTATTAAGTACTAAATCTTTTGCATAATATGTAATTATTACCTTCATTTGAACTAGGATTTCATTTTTGTGTCACAAGCCTAGTTATTTCAAGTGAATATAGAAAAGTACAATTGGAAAATTTTATAAAACTTTTTCACTTAACTGATTTGCAACTGCTTACACCAGCATGAGAAATGAAACAGTGTGATAATGTTTTAGTATCAGTATATTTGAAGATGCTTGGGACACCTGGCTGGCTGTAGGACTATTGCTGGACCTTGGGATTGTGAGTTTGAGCCCCACGCTGGGTGTTGTGGATATTTAAGAAAAAAAAAAAAATCTTAAAAAAATCTTGAAGATGCATATGCCTGACAGGTGAAGGTTTTAGAAAACTTAGTCTTTGCTTACTATGTTGATAAATATGAATACAGTGACACCATTTTGGTGGATTAAAATGATGGCTCAACCTTTCTCTTGTGAACTGGTCTTTAGCTATTCTAGATTGAAGATAAAGATTTGATAAATGCATATTCTAAAGACCATGAGTATATTTATTAAATTGTAGTTTCCTTTTGGTTTTAAACTTCCATTTGCATTAGTCATTTTAGAAAGTAATGCCGTCAAGGAGTTCAATAAATGGAAATTGTTGAGTAATTTTATGGTAAAAAGTTAGAGCCTGGCTTGTGAGACTTTACAAAGATTAACATACATATATATGATTCAAAGTCTATTCAGAATTATGCAGTACATTAAAACAATTAAATTGGGCCATAATGAGAGGACATAGTATATTGATTATGGTTCTTTTCAAAAGTTTTTGACTATGTTGGTGCAAAGAAACAATCACCTGGTTTGTAGCCTTCTGAATATCTTAGGTAGTTTCTAGAACATTGTGGTGTATGTCTTCTAAGAGTATCTGTGTATAGGAAAGGAGGTAGACTTTTTTTTTTCCCTAAGATTTTATTTGAGAGAGAGGGGAGAGAGTGTGCACAGAGAGACAAAGGGAGAAGCAGACTCCCTGCTGAGCAGGGAGCCTGGTGCAGGGCTCAAATTTAGGACCCTAGGAGTCATGATCTGAGCTGAAGTTAGATGCTTACTGGACTAAACCACCCAGGCAGACTTGTTTATAATAGTAATTTAGATATCACCTAGATGCCTGTCTTCTCTTGCTTCCCAAAGATTACACTAGCATAATGTAATTTATGCTAGTTTTGCCAGGAAATCACACTGACCAGCATTTTGTGTATTTTGTGGACTAGAAATGGGTTTGACTCTGAGAGGTTACATATCTGTCAACAAGGAAGTCAATTCATCTACCCTTTTATCTTTTAACTTTGCACCAACCTACCCCTCCCTCATTTTTTCTTAAGTCAGATTCCTTACTCTGTGGAAACCCAGGACTTAAGAGACTACTAGATTTCTTCCCCAAGGTGGCTTATTAACTCTTTTCCAACTGAGGAATTTTCATGCAGTCTAATGAGAGTAAAACGTCGTTTCATCTATTTAAAATTACGTGACTAGATTTATTACACATTTATTTTTCCTGTTCAGTAATTTATTACTAATTTTCTTGAAGAAATGATTAACTTCTGTACTTGGACACTACAAGTGAATTACAGTTCTACAAAAATCAGTGCTTAACTTTATTTTTTTAGGTACACAAATTCAGAAAAAAGATAAAATTTGAAAAAGGAAGCTCTTAAACTATACATTACTGAAGTTTTCTGGCTCAGATTATGGTTTCCCTATATAGTAGTGTCCCCTTATCTGAAGAGGAAAATTCTAAGACACATCCCACCCCATAGATGTCTAAAGGTGCAGATAGTACCAAACCATACATATACCTTTTTCCCCCATTTCCATGCATGTCTGCGATAAAGTTTAATTTATAAATTAGGCACAGTAGTATTAATAGATTAACAATAATGACTAATGAAAAATACAATAATTATAACTGTATACTGTAATAAAAGTTATGTGAACTTGGCCTCTGTCTCAGAATATTGTACGCATTGCCTGTGAGGTGATAAAATGCCTATGTAATGAGATGGAGTGAGGTGAGTGTTAAAGGCATTGTGATATAGCAGTAAGCTACTACTGACCTTCTGACCATCTGTCAGGAGTGTCGTCTGCTTCCAGATTATGGGTAACAAACTGGGAAAGCACAACCGCATATAAAGAGGACTTTTATATAATCCCTGCACACCTGACCCCATATTTAACAGCTGCTGTCATCCTACTAGGCAGGCATAAAAACTTTAGATTTGTATTTGATCTGTTGCTACTATTTAGAATTATGCATGATGATTAATTAGGAAAATTCAAAAAACCTTATTTTTTTGTTTCTTTATATTATGGTACATTGACTTTTATCTGGAGCCAGTAAATCTTTTAAAATATTAGAGGAGATCAGAAGGTTTTGGAAAATGGCATGCTCCAAATTTTAGGGATAGGAAGTATATAAAAAAAACAAGTGTTCAGATTGTTAATTTCTGCCTTGCCTAGATCGTATGTTCATATTTTTAGGGGAGTAAATTTTATGTCCCGGTATTCATGCTACAATGTTAGAGCTGAGGTAAACTAAGATGTAGTTAGGTTCATATTATGATCTTTGAGATCTCTTAGTGGATGAGAGCAATCTCTAGGTTAATTGAAATTATAGATCTTAAAATTTGAATTAGTTTGCAGCTACTTGAACCAAGCTACTGTCACAAGCAATTTCTAGTCTCTTTTATAGATCACATAAGTATGATGTACATGTTAAATAATTTAGCAAAGTGTTCAATGCTGGTTTTCTGCAGTTGCTATATTGACCGTTTCTTGCAGTTTGGGCACTGCAGATTAGCTGTGCACAGAGTAGAACAACCCTCCGTTCCTATGGCACTAGTGTTCCAGACCTAGAAGAACAAATAAGAGTCGAAATAATTTATAAGGTAAAAAGGGTAGAAAAAATGACAGCTTCTGTTTTAGATAAGAGGACTGGAAAATGCTTATCTCAGGAGACAGGGGGACAACATTGTTTAATTTAGTCTGCGCTGATAAAAGACAACATGTAATAGATGAAGTGGAAGTCCTAAGTCTGTTGGAGCTGTGCTGTTCAGTGTGGTGGCCATGTGTGAACTGTTGACTCTTTGGAATGGGACTAGTGAGATTAAGACTTTTAATTTTATTGTAATTAAGTTGGATATAGCAATACAGTGTGTTTAGCATATTTGGAACAACTTGGGTATGCAAATTTCCTTTTGCATCTTAAATATAATGAAATCTAAATACACATAAATATTGGAGAGAATTTACCACTGACTTAGATGTGTAAAGTACAGAATTGCAGACTTGGTATGAAGAAATGAATGTAAACTATCTCAGTGTTTAATATGTTTGTTGAAATATATTTTGGATATATTGGGTTAAATAAAATATATTATTTAGCTAATTTCATCTCTCGCTTTTTTTCTCTTTAATGTACTTAGAAATTTAAAATTTCTTACATTGCCTTATTTTTCTTCCAGATAGTGCTGGTTTATAATAGTAACTTTGTCAAATTTTTCTTTTCCTTATGTGAATGTAATCCCAGAATCTCATTACATGGTGTAATTATCCAGTTCAGTTATTTTTATCTTTTTAAAAAATTAATAATTTGAGTTGAACTCTATCTAGAGTTTATGTATTCACCATTGGGTGTTAGTGAGATTGATTTCCTGGTAGTATAATTGCTTAGTGTTTGTATAGGAGTGCAAGAAAGAAATTTGAATAACAGTTTTAGGAAATAAATTGTGCACATTAAGTTTACATTTATTCCTTTCACTTTTGTTCTCCCCCCTTTTTTTTGTTTATTATCTACTTGATACTCCATAAAATTTAAGTCCAAAAATTGTCATACAAGATTTCTCTTAAAATCTTTGAAGTTTTTGTGTTCATGTTTATTTCATTCTCTCCACGATGTCAGCTCTATGAGAATAGGATCTTACCATTTGTGGCTTATCCTCATTTTATAGTACATCTTGATTAAATGTTTTTTCAGCAAATGATTGACACCAGTTTAGGGCAACACATGGTGTTTACATGAGAATATAAAATGAAGAAAATATGGTCCTTGTGCTCTTGGGATTTAGAATTTAATGATTTTATGCAAGCAAAGTGTAAGGCCAGTTGATAGGAAGGAAAGGAATAGGAAATGTTCTGAAAACCTTGAGGCAAGTATCTTACCTTGAGGCAAGTATCTTACCTTGGGAAGACTGGGAAGAATTCACTAAGATAACTTTTGAGCAGGTCATTAAGGTGAGTAAGTATTTGCCAGCTGTAGGGTTTTTGGAGGTAGACGATAAGGAAGGGGTGGGTTGTGGGATGATGGAATGGTGTAGTCAGAAGGACTAATAAGTGAAGAGTTAATAAGGAGCTGTCTAGTGTAGGAGGTGAGAGTAGAAAAGGGAAAAAGTGTTCAGATGAAACTGATCTAAATTGAATTTTGATTTTTACCTTTTTAGGTCCTGGGTATCAGGACAAGAATTAAGTGGATCAGAAAGCAGAGAACATAGATCATTGGTTCTCTCCCACACTCTCCACCCTCCACCTTCCACATGATATTTGAAAAGATCTTTAGTGTCTGTGATGATTGTTCAGATTCCAGACAATGATTCAGAAGTAGAGTGAACTTAATAGACTAGTTTGGTGGAAGAGGGGAAGATGAAAAGTGTTCTGGTTTTCTAGTTTGAATGATGGGGTGATGGTGCTGAGAAACATTAACTGAAACACAGAAGGTAAGTGTGTTCAGGATTGAGGGTTGGGATATTTAGTTGCTTGAGGTAGAGGAAGGTATTGGATTTTTAAAAACATTTTGGTTTGAGTAACTGGTGGATTATTGGAATTCTAAAACTCTGCTGGTAAAATACGTCATCTCAAGGCACAGTTGTTTGTAACTGAAGGTGTCTGTAATACCCTCCTAACTTGTCTTGCTTTTACTTTGGTTCTTGTAATTTATTTTCCACATAGTATCTAGTGCACCCTTTTAGAGTGTGAATTATATGACTGTATGTCTGCTTTTTAGATGCAGTAGTTTTCCATTTAAATTAAAACCCAACTATAGGGGTACATGGGTGGCTCAGTTGAGCGACTGACTCTTGAATTTGGTTCAGATGGTGATCTCAGGGTCATGGGATTGAGATTGAGGCCCCAGTTGCACTGTCTTCCCCCCAAAAAATATATATTTCATATAAAATATATTTTCATATATTTCATATATCCAACTGTATCGTAGGCCCCAGGGCTTTTTTTTAAAAAGATCTTTTTGGAGTAATCTCTACCCAGCATGGGGTTCAAATCCACAACCTCAAGATCAAGAGTTGTACACTCTACCAACTGAGCCAGCCAGGTGCCTCTACCTTACCAACCTCATCTACTTTCCACCCCTTCCCTTGTTCACTAAACTCTAAAGTCGTTCCTCTGTCTCCCCAGATATTTTTATAGGTTTCAAAAGAAAGAGTCCCCAATAAAATTTTCATTCCTGTCACTTTCAGTATATGATATTTACTTATTTGCTCATTGTGCCTACATTTTATTCATCTCTTATCAGTGTTTCCAGTATTGTAGCATAACATTTGACACTCAGTATTTCTTCAACCAGTCTGAGGGAAAATCCAGAAGACCATCAGAAGAGTAATGGCATAGATTTAAATGTAGTGTCAGTACCAATTGAAGTGTGTGGATGAGAATCCCAGTTTGCATATGCATTCCCTAAATTGTTATTGAGCATTTTTGTCTCAGCAACATTGTACATATAATAGTAAAGGAAATACAGTTGGTCCTTAACCTTCTTTGAGCTTGAAGTCCATTGGGTGGCAAGAGAAATCATGGGAAGAAATGATAAATTCTTAGTTCTGTCATTGTCGTTGTATTGAAGGTAAGAGCAAGAAGAGCCAGTGGAGAATGTGAGTTAATAGCCCAGTTTTTAAATAGAATTTAGGAGAATATGTACCCTTACATATACCTATATAGAAATATATCTAAAGAAAGTACTAAGAGCTAGGGAGGGAGGGAGAGAGGAAATGTGAAGGGATAAATTTCGAATGGATGACCTAGAGGTTGGAGAATGGATGAGGTTGGTGGCATGAAGACACATTTTTAACAGTAAAGATTCTTAAATTTTTAAATTTTTATTTTTTAAGGTTTTATTTATTAATTCATGAGAGACACAGAGAGGGGAGAGAGGCAGAGACATAGAGGGAGAAGCAGGCTCCATGCAGGGAGCCTGATGTGGGACTCGATCCTGGGACTTCAGGATTACGCCCTGGGCCAAAGGCGCTAAACCACTGAGCCTTCCAGGCGTCCCAGTTTAAAAAAAAACAAAAAACAAAAACTCAAAAAAGTGTTTTGTGCATTGGGTGTATGAAATACAGTGGTGTTTTGGTGTTGGTGGAACTGTAAGCATTCAGGAGACCAGAGGAACGGACATTTCAGCCTTCCTGAGATGTCCAGAGTGCCTGGGTTGCTCAGTTAAGCGGCTGACTCTTGATTTTGATCTCAGGGTTGTGAGATCAAGCCCTTGTGTCAGGCTCTCCATTGTGCATGAAACCTCCTTTAAGATTCTCTCCCTCTCCTGCCCCTCCCCGTCTTAAAAAAACCCTCCTGATGTGTCCAAATCCTATTTCCAGAAAAAAGAACATTTGTTTTTCTAATTGAGTGTAAAATGAAAGCTCCTGGTTTTAAGAGTTTACATGTTTGTTTTTCTCTTGCCCTTTTTCTTTTTTAAGATTTTATTTGAGAGCACATGCGAGAGAAAGTGTGAGTGCGGGAGGGGCAGAGGGAGAAGCAGACTCTTGCCTAAGCGGGGAGCTAGATGCAGGGCTCAAGTCCAGGACCGTGGGATCATGACCTGAGCCGAAGGCAGACACTTAAGACTGAGCCATGCAGGCACCCTTCTCTCCTACCTTTTTTTAACGTTGGTATAGATCAAGAAGATTAGAAGCGGCAAAAGTAGGACAGGTCCACTGCAAAGAGCAACTGTTCAGGAGGGTACCCTATGAAAGTGCAGCTCATTGTTGATGTGATTGTCCATACACATTTTTATATGTGATCCTCAGATAACACTTGTAGAGATGCTGAAGTTCTGATCATGGTAATTCTCTAGTAAAGAGTTAAGATTTCCAGGAGAATTCATTCAGTAAAGCTTGGATGTTATGAAGGGAACACGTACTTAGTCCTCTTTTATACATAACTTGGGTATTGTATCAAGAGTTGAAAAAACTTGTTCAAATATTGGGAGAGGGGCACCTGTGGGTCTCAGTCAGTAAAGCATCTGCCTTCTGCTCAGGTTATGATCCCAGAGTCATGGCATCCAGTCCCGCATCAGGCTTCCTGCTTAGTGGGGTGCCTGCTTCTCTCCCCCCTACCACTCCACTCCCCTTCAGTTGTGCGGTCTCTCTCAAATATATAAAACCTTTAAAAAAAATAAAAACATTGGGAGAGAAAAGGCATGTAATACAAAGTTTGAAGAAACTTTTGGTCTTTCATTAACAGCTCCTATTTAAGATGGAGTAATTATTCCAATACCCTAAAGGATTTCTTAAAGACTACCGATTCCCTTCCATTCCTTTATCATGGTCTTTGAGTTAACATTCATTACTGTTCATTTTGATGGATTATAGGGACTTTTAAAATCACTTATAAAAGAGCCACTATTTGGTTTTCTTAATTACCTTTACAATAATATTGAAATATTTCTAAGAAGATAAATGAACATTTTTTGTACTTATATTGTTGACATTACTGAGTTCCTGCATTTTGATTTTTACCTTTCATATATTTTATAGTAAATGGAAATTAAGTAAGGAAAAATGGAATGCCACTGAGTCTGTGGAATCTAAAGAAAACTTCCTGTTTTGCCATTTTTTTCCCATCCTTCAGAGCTGATGAAAAGTTGGGAGATAAATGTCTAAATACTGGGGAATGATTTAAAAATTTTCCAGTTTACATTATGGCACAAATTTAGTTAGTAATCAGCATGTTACAGTGGTACATGTCATCTAACATCTACAAGGAGGACAAATAAATTGAGTCAGGTTAGCCAAAGTTCTAATAACATTTTTTTTATATAGCTAATATGTACTATGTGAAATACAAGAGTGTGTATATGTGTTTTTTAGTTTTTGGTTTATTTTAAAGCCCAGTGAATGTGGAACTTGAACTCCGGACCCTGAGATCAAGACCTGAGCTGAGATCAACAGTTGGGATTCTTAACCTACTGAGCCACCCAGGCACCCCTAAGTATTTCCTTTTTTTTTTTTTTTACCCCTAAGTATTTTAATATTTACTCGAACTTTAGTTAGATTTCCACACTCACTAGTGTGGAAAGAGAATTGGTTTTTAAGACCATAATTGCTGTTTGAACTAATTTGTGTAAATTCTTCATAAATTTTTTCCCTGACATTCAGTGTCTTTAACATTTCATTTATTTCCCATGCTCATCATCCTACTTTTTGTGTCCCTCCTCATCACAGGATTCCCGTGGAGGCTTACTTTTTTCCTGCTCCAATCTGAGCTGTTGCACTCTAGAACAGCTGCATCAAAACTATC